AACAAACAGAAAAACAACAAAAAAAGCAAGGCTCATGAGAGCACTTGCAGATGGCTGCCTACTCGGGCGCCATCTTGGACTTCTACTAGTGGCATTTTTTTTTTTTTTTAATTTTTAATTTTATTTATTTGACTATTTGGTGCCATTCTTGGTGTTTTATAAACACTTATTATTATTTATCTCTTTTTTGGTGAAAGTTTTGAAACGTTAATATGAACAAGTTATGTTGTAAAATAAAGCAAAACTGACAAATACTCAGATATTATTCATTTCTGTCAGGGGTGGTGCGAAGGATGTGGGGGATAGGGGTGGGGGCACCACAGAGCATTTATGCTCAGGGCACTAAAATGGCCAGCACGTAAGACAGTTGAAATTTCTCTTCAATATTTAATAGGTAAATAAGCGTTGCTCTGTTTGGGTCATGGTTCTCTTTAATTTGATAGGAAAATCCTTTGACTGGTCGCTGCCGATATGTCAGCATCTTGTAGCTACCATGTTTCTTCATTGTGTTGGCTCTGTCTGTGGAATTGTTGCCCAGCAGGGTGCAGTTTGAAGTGGCTAGTGCAGTGGAATGCACCGGTCCCCGGGAACAAAGGCAAACTTCTTGGTAACTCCCGGCGATCTCGTGGCCACCTAGTGAGCACTCTAAGGCAAACTGACCAGTCCAAAGCCACGGTTCCAAGTTGGTTCTCAGTTGTACTCTTATTTATTTATTTATTTTTTAAAATCCACCTTCATAGTGATGTCATTTGGCCTGGTAGTCTCCCAGAGGGCATTTGAAAGAGAACTCAGGGACTAAATCTGACCCAGAATATTCATAAAATAGTGGGAAAAAAGTGACCTTTAAAAATTTCCCATTGCAGGGTACCAACTTGACATGGCAAGCCTCTCATCATTGCATTTGCATTGGTCAAAGCAGATACGTCAAACCAGATACCAATGGGCGATGTCAAGTGCTAATCTGCACTGATTTGTCGAATAGATTGCTAATTGTAAAGTTGGTGAATGCCCAGCAACAATGGACAAAAGCTAAACACGCATATACACTCGGGATCATGCAAGGACAACACTGCGGAGTCTCCATTTTGCAGCAGCCTTCAGTTTTACTGTTGGCGAACATCTCGTCTCAAATGAAATGCTTAACACAGAAGACCTGCATTTTCCTTGGTGGTGTGCGGATGTGGTTTTGGATTTACCTGGAGTCCTCCATTCAATTAAAAAAAACATTTGGGACAAGTCCAGCCAAGTAGAGCTGCTATTCTGCAGTGAAAATGTGATTTGAGTGTTTTGAAGCAGAAGCAAGGTTTCAAACAGACCCACAATGGTCGCAGCGTCGGAAGCCAAAAACAAAAACAAGCATTTTGCCAGCAAACCCTGCCCACACTGAGTGATTGACACAAAACGACAATCGCTGACCTCTTTGACGTTCTGATAGTTCTCGTTGTTCTTCTCCCCTTTCTCCTTCTTGTGTGTGGCATCCTCCGCCGCCCCCTGTAGGAAGCACAGGTCAACACAGCATGCGAGATGCACTGATGTGCCACGGCAAACTACTGAAAACAAAATTATTCAGTGAGGGCCCAAAGGCCTTCAGCAATGATTCACCAGACCGAATCGACCTCTTAGTAGCACCTGTATCACATTTCATTCATAAAAACCATCAATTCAATGCCAAATATTCAATATGTAGCACATACTTTGGCTACATATAGTCTGGATCCATTTATAGTCAATATTTATCAAAATAAAAATAGTTAATTCACATTCATGCGATTGAGGGGTATGGCTTTAGCCAGAGACGTCAGGAGTGGAAGGAGGAGTGAAGTGTGGCTACATTTATGGTACTTGGTAAAGCTTGATAACTAGGGATGGCAATTGATCAGAATTTACAAATCCGATTCGCTTATCAATTCAGTTAAACAATTATATTCTTTATCGATTCTCTTAGCGATGCTTTTTTTTTTTTTTTTTTTTTAAACAGTAGATTAGCATCCATTTTTGTTTTATTTCTTAATGGTATCTGTAAAAAAGATAGAGTTCCAAGACGAGCTCGTTGATTGTCTACAACATTTGGGCTGCTGTGTGAGGCCTTGCGTTGTCATGATTCATGATGCAAGATGACTCCTTCTGACTGATGACCCCTGCGTTTGTTCTTGATGTTTTTCAGTGCTGTGAGCGACTGGCTGAGACATCAGTCCAAAGATTTTTACACTGAGGGAATTTAAGGAAGCTTGTGCACAGTTGGGAAAAGTGTGTGACAGTGCGGGGAGATTTAAAAAAAATAATATATATATATATATATATCCAACTATCGGCCAATAACCTGTCTCTCCACAACATGGAAGCTCATGTCAGGCATCATTGCGGCTAAGATAAGTGGACACATGGATCAATACAT